GAGCTGGCCCTATTAATATAAGGTCACCACGGAAGTAGAAACTGAACTGTAATGTGTTCTATATGGACAGTGCGCACGCACGCACACACACACACACTCTCTCTCTCTCTCTGAATGTGGCACTTATTGGAGTGAGAGTTTGGTTAACTATAGCACGGAGGCAACATTTCTGGCTCACTGGCTGGTTTTCCTGTCCCCGTAGTTGGCGGGGAGGGCACTGGGGAAAGTCCCTGGCTGCTGCACATTAGGGAGAAGTTAGGACAGTTGGTCCCTGAGCACTGCTTGCCTGGAAGGGCTCTTACGCTCTGTGCCAGGAGGCATTATGAGTTATAGCGTTGCTGTGGAGTGCACTAGAGGACATGTGTCTAGAATCCTGTCAAGACCCTCTTCCCTAGGATGGGTGGGGGAGTGAATACAACCTCTCAGAATGTGTGAGCACTAATGCCAGTTCCTGGTTACTTGCTCAAGGGCAGGCTGGACCTCAAAGCAACCCAAGTATCTAACTGGGCACAGAAAGCTTTCCCAGTATTTCAGAGAGAGAGAGAGAGAGAGAGAGTGACAGACAGTGAGAGAAAATGTGAGAACTATGTGCTTCTTTACCAGGAACCAATAGGAAAAAGGAACTGACAAATAGTGCATAAATTAAAATCTTCAGTGTGCTCTGAAGAGCATCTAATGATCATTTTCATTATCCTTAATGAAGCCAAAATTTCACTTTACCCTTCTACAAATGTATTAGCCAAGAAGATTGAAATCTAATATAAAGCATCACTCAGTGTCACTCAGATATTTCTGTTAGCCTGATCCAGTTCCCATTGAAATGACTGAGAGTTTAGCCATTGATTCTAATAGGAGTATGCCTTTTCTGTGCATTGGCTTAACCTCCCCCGTATTTCGTTAGGCCATCTTACACTTCATTTATCAGACCATCCGGACAGCTCCCATGCCATTTCCCAGTTACAGGCTCAACAGGAATCCGTATGTGAACACTGGCTTACTAATACTGTATTTTGTATTTCAAATATTCTGTTCTAGCTATGATATTGACATCTACAAGTGATAAGCACAATAACCGAAACATTTTAATAAATAGGGTGTATATCTTTCAGGTCAGTGCCCTTTACAGACTATATACATAAGGGAATCACTTCTGAATCACACTGCTTAGCTGCTGCTTTTAATTGTTTCTAAAAGTGGCACATGAGTCAAATGGCACCTATTTAAATGAGCCAGGAAGTCATGTTGCAATCTGGACTGTAAAACCCACGGTGGAGGTGCAGGTGGGGAAGGGAATTCCGCCATTAATTTTTAACCATAATGTATTTATTTACAGGTAGAAGGCTAGCAAAATGATGCTGGATGATTTCGGATTGGTTTAATCCAATCAGTGTGCTATAAAGTACATTTTTCAGGAGGCAGAACTGTATTGTTGCAAACAACAGACTAGGACTGATAAAGAACTTGGTTAATTCTTATATCTATGCCCTCTCCTAGTAGCCAGAGCTCTCGGGATATTTTATTCTGATTGATTTATCATACATTATTATAATTGAATAAAATGTACTGTTTAATTTTTTCCAACAGCCACAAGCCTAGCTTTATTTTAAAGCTAAACTTCTCTCTGCATTTTCATGGTAGTATAAAATTCAATGGAAACACTTAAAAATGCCTTATTTATTTTGCCAGTTCACTGCCACTTGCCCTTAACACCAACAGGAGTCAAGTACTGCTCCAAGTGCAGCTAAAGAGGCACTTCTGCTCCATCGCCAGCCGTGTTAGTGCTAATTCAGGCACACAAGGTCATAGCACCGCCTTTCACTTGTCCCTTTCTTAAAAAGAAAACTGCATTTTGCTCAGCCAGGCAATCTGGAAAGAAAGATTTTCATGACAATTGGCATTTCTGAGACTTCTCCTGGTGATGGCCCTTTTTTCAGAAAAGTGGCCTGGCAGGAAGGGATGTTTCATACCTTGTGAGTTTCAGATTGCTGGGCCAAAAGAAGTGGACAGAGTGCTTTTAAAGGACTCCTCATCAACAAGCAACCTGCTTGGTTAACGAACAGAAGCCTGCAAACCTGTTCCTAATTCAGTAGCTTTGGTTTTTAATCACAAATATAGGACCTCCATGGTGGGGATTTTTCTTAAAGAAGTGGAGGTCATGGCTCACGTGGGCAGGTGTGCAATGAGGTAATAATATGAGGTAGTAGAGTAGGAAAGCACAGCAGAATTGCTCCAACCTGATTGCTTAACTAAACTACTTTTTCCCAATTAATTATTTTATTTCCTTGAACTTTCAAGGTTTATTTTTTTTCTTGTTGTCTATTTGTTTATTTCTATTGCAGAAATTCCCAGAGGCCCACTCAGGACTGGACCCCCATTGAACTAGGCACTGCTCAAACACATATGGAGAAACAGACCTTGCCAGAAGAATTTACAGTTTAAGGCCTTCATTCAGCCTGATCCATGTGGGTAGACCCCTGCATCTGTCAGGAGCTCCATTGACTTCAATAGGACTTGACACAGGTGTCTGGGCCCACACACACACACATTTCAAAATTGGGATCTAAATTTTGTGGGTTTGTTTTTCATTTAGAAGTGTAGGTATCTTGTTCCTATAGGAAAGATGCTAGAGTTTAGCTTCGAGTTTCTTACTCGAGTATTAGCAGGAAAGTCACTGGCTCACACAAAGGCAGCTCACATAGTTTTGGCTAGTGTACATGGGTCCTAGTATGAAGTCTAGACACCCCACTCACTGGACACTGGCCTCAGAAGCTGCATTGCATCTGGGTCAAGTATTGAACAGAGGTTTTGTGAGAGCCCCAGCAAAGGTTCATTTTTTCAGGTGTCTGGCAGGAACTGTAGCTTGCATTAAATCCCCCAGCAGAGGTTGCAATTGCTTCCAGGCACCCAACAGGCTTCACGTAAATTCTAGCAGTTAAAAATTGTAAGGGTTATGAACTGTTGTTTTTCCTCCCTTGGGACATGTGAGCTCCGCCAGCTGCACCAGCAGAGTTTGCAAATTCCTTGACTCCTGACAACTTCTCTCATGCAACTTACAGGCTTCGTCGCCTGTCCTGTGTTGAAGCTGAAAAGTTCTGTGAACAGATTTAATGATACCTCACAGAAGTAATACATGGAAAAATTAAAGGGATCTGGCTGGCACAGAAACCAAATACTGCAAACATATTTATTTGTGCATGTTACAATTAATACCTAGTTTCTAACAAGTGAACATTTTAAAAATCACTCTTTGTCAGGTTTTGTGCTAAATGTTTACTTTTTGCTTTCCTCTCTGCTTGGACAATTAAAATAAGTGAAATCTGCTTCAGATTTTTAATTCTGCAATGTTTGTGTTTCAAACACTGCAGAGGAATGTTGGTGTGTTTTTAAAACCCCTTTTTTCAGAATTTGTTTTACATTTTGGAAACTGTCCTGTTTCAGGTTTTAGAAAAGCATGTCCTTGTTTTAATTTGGGCTGAATTTAACTTGACAACATTCCATTAAATAAGTTAAGGCCAAATTTGGCAGTCATTGCTTGAGCAAATCTCCTATTGGGCCTGATTTTTCTCTCTTATATTGGTTTTACACCAGACTAACTCAATTATTCCTGAGTTACAGCAGTGTAAGTAAGGCGAGATACAGGATCAATGCCTTCAATGGATGTTTTGTTTGAGCAAGGATTGCAGAGGAGCCCATTAAAATAGGGGCCCTGATCTCATAGCAGGATCTGCTGCATTACACCTGTGCATTGATTTAAATGCATTGATTTAAATTATTTAAATTAGCATATGCAAAAGCAAGTTCAGGGCCAAGAACTACAGAAATGTAAAGCAAAGCCAAAGAGCTCAATCTCATTGAGGTCAAATACCTAAAACAAGCTTGAAGCTTTTTGGCCACTCTGTTTTTAAATTGTGAGTGGACAATTTTAAAAAAGAGAAAAGCTCCTTGTTTCCCTAAATCTCATAATTCAAAACCAGCTTGTTTGATTAATCTCAGACTTACTCTCTTCTGGTCTAAGACTAAGCCTATGAAACTTCAAGCAATACAAAGCCTTCAGGCTGGTTTACTCTGGTTTTGCTCCATGGTAACAGACCAGTTTTCAATATGGGAATGATCAGGATATTTATAATTTATACCTTTGCAGTTTTCCCAAGGTTGTGTTTGGATTAACTGTTATTTTAAATTAAATTTTAAGGTGGAACCTTGTTGGTTTGTGTGTTATCACGTATCAAATCTGAAGTAGTTTAATTCCCATTTTCCGGTGATAATAGCTATTGTTACATAAAATTGATTCAAGCTGCATCTTCAAAATTGCTTTACAAATTTCTTTACAAGCACATTTTTAAAAAGCTATAGTTTAATCTATCATCATATTCTCCTCACATTCCAAATACCTATATTTTGATAGCTTCAGCACAACATAAATTATATAAAGAATCCTTATTTGACATATTAAAGAGTCAACACTTTAAATTTCATTACTGCTTTCTTCACTGTTTGTCATAATTGTGTAAAGATCTGGTGGTAAGTTTGAATTGGGAATGCATTCAGCAGAGAGACTCTATTGTTTCTATGCTGATATGTTATATACCTAATATCAGCCTCAATGCAAGAAGTATGGTGGCTTCAGCTTGAAGCCCACTAAAAAGTAAGTGGCTCAATTTTTTATTTTTCTTAAAAATAACCTGAAAACAAAACACTAAACTCTACAATCCATAACAGCTGTTCAGGAAAGGAAAATACCTATCTAAACGGAAGTGTGATTCACTTTCATTCTCATAAAGACATCCCAGCCAAATCAACGCTAAGGATCTAGAGGTGGTGTGCATAGTGGAGTCAGCAATGAATTATGGCAGTCTGTGAAGAAACAGAGTCCTTCAGGTCAAGAACCTGATATGCCTCCTGTAGTAAAAATATTTATCGGCAAATAAAGAGAGGCACAATCTAGTGGAATGTTTGTATACAAGGTTTGAAGGGTCATATACTAGACACATAAAAGTGAGTATGGAGAAATTTCATGGAGAGTTTAATGTTATGGCTCAATATTTTTATCCATTACTGCAAACAAAAATGAGAGATAAGAAGTCTATTTGTGGATCCAATGGAATGCTACATTACATCATACACACTATCAAATAGTAACATTGTTTTACTGGGTAAGCCAAGTCACTGACATATATTATTGTAACTGATACAATATTTTGGAAGAAAAGAGAGGAGAAATTTTACTACATGTTTTTGCCTTAGGTGAACACTATACATGTGTATACTATTATTTCACACAGCAGGTTCAGTGAATCAGAAAAACAAACAAAGAAAAAAACATTTTAATCTAGTTTTGTAGGCGAATTTCCCTTTTACTTTTATTATTCCAAATACTTTTTTAGTTTCTATGCTAACCTATTTTAGCACTCAAAATTGATGTCATAAATATTACATTTATATATACATACAGTATTTATCATCTATTTTCAAGTCATATGTTAACTAGAAATTGGCTGTGAATTTTAGTGACATTTTCTGCCTGTGTGTTAAGTCAATGACCTATTAAGTATATTCACAAGCCATTTACATACCCGATGACTTCACATTTCAGATGGCTATACCATATATGTTTTCTGTTACAATACTTATTTATGTAAAAAATTCATAATTGAATATGTAATGTTAATTTTGTTTAAATTATTTGAATTCAAATATTTAAACTAATTAATACTTTCTAAAGGTACAACTAAGCATTTGATGAGAATTTCTGCTTAATGTTACATATAATGCAAAAGGACAAATGATGTTTTTGAAATCAATGGTGATTTAAGTATATTGGTATAAAAATGTAGGTGTCTTTTAGCTTTATGAAACTGACAGATCCATTCTGAAACTTTGATTAAAAAGGATCTGTGTTTTTAGAAATAAAATAATAAAATGGGCCTATCTTAAAAAAAAGCGAGAGAAAAGAAATCCTGATTGTTACCACAAATGAAATACCTGATGACAAAATAGTAGTCTTTTTGATTTTGATCACAAAAAATAAACTGGTAGTGACAGGATATGATGGATAGATTTGACATCCTGGCAAATCACTGTCATGGATTCAATTATTCTAATTCAGAATAAAAGCTGTATACAGTATGTGTTTATGCTACAGTGGAGTTTTTTAAGTGATTGACATTCATCATATTAGTTAGACAGTTTTAAAAGCTATGTCTTTGTTTTACACACAGTGTTGTCAAGAACAAATAAAGTAAAACCTGGATTGTATAAGAAAAGCAAACCGTTTAATCAACTTTTCAGTTGGAACCTCATCAAAAGACATTAACATTATTATATTGTATAAAATGCTATTTGGAAAGTCAATTTCACTCTAGCCATATTATATCCCATTATAGAGATTGTTTTATATTATTTCTTATGAAGCAGACTTCCATTTTGAAAGGGGGTATATTGTCCTCCATGGAACTTCCAAACTAGATTTTAGATTACCTTATGTTTTCAAAATTCAATTTAATTTACAGATCAGCACTGCCTACTGTGCCAGATACAAAGTAATATATAGGAGATGTTTAAAAATATATTTAATAGTTTTCCATTTGGGTATATATACACACATGCACACAAAATATTCATAAGATCACAAATAGTGTACATGATGGTATGGAAACCTGAATTAGTTTTATTTTCTGTTCTGTTTTAGACCATCATTCTGTGATACTCTTCCCCAAGCTCCAATGCACTCTTCTGGTTTTCTAGCATTAATGTAGCTGTCAGTTTGAATTTCAATCTTGAATTATGTCTGTTGACATAATTTCATAGTGCTGACTTCAATTGTTTAGGATTACTGTTTTGAACTACACAAGGAAATCAATTCTTTTTTCAATGTTTAGTAAATTCCACTCAAGTGCATTTTAATACATTTATTAACCCATAAGGCAAACTAATTATCTATAATATATTCTTACTATGGAACAATTCTTTCTTTATCATTTTAATTATTGACACAGTAGAACACACATGAAATACTGCAATACATTTTTAAATGCATTGTTTATGTACTCTGTAAAATAACATCATATCTACTTTTGATTTTGCCAATAATGATATTTTCAGATGTACAAAATTATTTTTCAAACAATAATAATCGTTAAATTTGGCTTTAAAATAAAATGTGATAATGAATTCCTTAATCTCATTTACTAATGTTCACAATACTGTCTAATTTATATTTTACATTTATAATCAATGTTTAATACAACCATGTTAAACAGACACATTTAGCTTGCGAAAAACAACACATTTGGTATTGTTTCGTAAAGCATCTTGAACTTTAAAAATAAAAATAATTTTGATTTTTTATGAGAACAAAATATTGTACATTTCCAGAATAGCAGTGCAATGCAGCATTTTTTTTAATATAACAATACCTGTGTTGCAGATGTTCTGTAAAAAAGCAAACAAACAACAAATGTCTTCAAAGAAATCAGGATAAGAAAACGAGGCACCATTTTACAATGTTGTATTTTTAAGGACTGCTGGGTCAAATCATTAAGAAAAATATTTTCATAAGTCATTAACAGTCATAATTAGAGTGTCACATAAATCTGAGTGAACTGCTAAGTAGAAATCACTAGAAGTCCAGGTGCTTCTTGCCTATGGCCATAGCACCACATCCTGAGCTCAGCAGTTTGGTGGATTCTGCCAGATCCTGTTTGCTTGAGCGGCTCACTGTGTCTGACAAGTCTGGAGGCAAATGCAGTCGCTATGGCATGAGATTTTCAGGAGAGAGTGGGGGAGAGAAAGAGAAAGAGAGAACAGAACAATTGTAATTAAATTTGCTTTAGAAAGCATATTTCAAAATGCACTTCTATTCTCTGCTGAGCAATATTTACTCTTACATATCCAATACTTGTTACAACCATTTTTCAAACTGGTATCCAGATAGATATGTTTCAAATGATATCTTTGCAAAACATTGGTTGGTTGGTTGGGTTTTTTTTGCAAACTGGATTAGATTTTCCTCATAAACATTTCTGAGGTGAAAATCCAAGTTTATAAAATGTATCTAACTATATAACTGTGAGCCTGATCCATCATTCATTAAAGTAAATGGCAATTTTGCTTCAGTATTAACAGCGAGATTGAGCCCTATAATTGATATCTCATTACAATACAAATATTACTATATTTATTCTCTCAAATATTCTACACGAACAAATTATGTCTTGTTACTGACTTTAAAGGCAATAAGCAATATATCATTGATGACGGATATAGATGTCATACTGATTATAACATAATACGAGAAGCTAAAGGCTCGTCTATCTACTTACTCTGTTGCCAAATCTTAATAATAATACTTTGTATTTCTATGGCATATTCCATCTGTGGTTCTTAGAGATTTATACACTAATGTGAGGTAGTACACACTGCATGGGTGGCAGGTGAATGAGCCGTTGGGGGAGGCTAGCCCCTGGCCTCTCCCCCCCGCCCAAGGCCCTGCTCCTTCCCCTCTCCTTACACCCCTGCTCCCTTGTCAGAGCCCAGAGCACCCCCCGGCTCCCTGCATGCCCTGGTGAGCCATGTGCCGAACGTTGCCGACCCCTGACCTAGACCATCCCTGACAGGTGTTTGTCCAACCTGTTCTTAAAAACCTCCAATGATGGGAATTCTACAATCTCTCTTGGAAGCCTATTCCAGAGCTTAACTACCTGTATGATTAGAAAGGTTTGCCTAATACCTAACCTAAATCTCCCTTCTTGCAGATTAAGCCCATTCATTCTTGTCCTACCTTCAGAAGACATGGAAAAGAGTTAATCACAATCCTCTTTAGAACAGCCATTGTCGTATTTGAAGATTTATCAGGTCCCCACTCAGTCTTCTTTTCTCAAGACTCAACATGCCCAATTTTCTTAACCTTTCTTATGGGTCAGATTTTTTAAACCTTTTATCATTTTTGTTGCTCTCCTCTAGGCTCTCTTCAATTTGTCCACATCTTTCCTAAAATATAGCACCCAAAATTGGACACAATACTCCCGCTGAGGCCTCACCAGTGCTGAGGAGAGTGGGCAATTTCCTCCCATGTCTTACACACGACATTCCTATTAATATACCCCTAGAATGATATTAGCCTTTTTTGCAACTGCATCACATTGTTGACTCAATTTCTGATCCACTATAGCGCCCAGATCTTTTTCAGGCCAAGTCCCATGAGCCCAAGTCAGCAGGCAGGGCCAGCCTCAGGCATCTAGATGTTGTATAGACATACTCTAAGAGCACAGGAGAGAGAGTCTCCCTCCTCTCAGTTCACGTGCCCAGATCTAGGACTGGTATGGCCCACAGCAGCCCAGAATTGCAATTGAAGCATGCACAGTGTGGACAGAATCTTCAGGGAATTTAGCTGCTAAAATCAAAGAAGGGTCTACTAAGCATGTGTGAACAGTATTTTTTCAGAGGCTTATGTCTTGGTGGCACATCCCTGACACAAAGGCCACTTCCTGTCAAATTTCAAGTCCCAGCTTCACAGCATGGGGACACTAGAACCAGAATTATTTAATATGGGCAAAACAACATATGTTTCCCTAGTCTCATTCTCAGAAATGCCTGAACTGTTTTGACTGAAATTTTCCAAAATAATGCAGCCAGAGGCAGACACCAGGCTTGGAAATTTTCAGCCCAAATGGTTAGTTTGCCAAAGTTATAAAAAATCCTACATTAAAAAAAATTATGAAGTTTTAGTCAAGTGCTCAAAAGTTAGGAAATTCCAGAATTAAGATTACCCATGCTACATTAATCATGCCCCCTTGTGTGTATATATTATGATAGTCTTTAATTAAGAAATCACATACTATTTTTACCCACATGGGTCATCAGCAGTGTTTAAACCCAGGACCTTCACAACTACAATGCAGCCCTCCTTCATCTGGGCTAAGGAAATAATTAGCCATAGTAGGCCATTATCATCTATATGGACCAGACTGCTAGAGGGAACATGACACACATTGCCAGTGCCATAACCATTTGTGATACAGCAGTGGAATGGCTGGTGTCAGGATTTTTGGGTTCTAATCCTGGCTCTGGGAGGGGAGTGTGGCCTAGCAGTGAAGGCAGTGATTGTAGGCAACATAGCTAAGGACCCAGTTTTGGCACATTCATTTTGAAAGGCAGTACATCTGAGTGCATAAGACTTTTCTTACAGACCAGGTTTCTATTCCCAGCTCTGTGTGAAATGACCTTTCAGTTACCTTATTTGTAAAATGGGAAGAATAATAGCTGTGTGCTTCCTAAAGCTGGGATATGAGGATGCAGGACAGGTCTACACTAGAAACTTTCCATGTTATAGTACATTTGGTAAGGGCATGGTTTTTTAAATGACATTTCTATACCAGAAAAAGGCCTCGTGTTGATGCAGTTATACTGGCTTTTGCCACTGTTTTACTCAGGGAATTGATATAAACTGTGTCTACACAAAGGAGAATTTGCCAGTATAGCTAGGCTTCAGGTAAGGGTGTTGAACTGTACAGAAATATTAACACTAGTCAACAGACACAGTGAGACCAGAATCCCTGCTGCTACAATAACCAATGACAACAGCGGGAATTGAAAACACCCAGAATTTCACAGGATTAGGCCGTAAGTGAGCAATGGGAGCATAAATGAGTTGCCCACACTCGCACAGTGGATATAACAATTGAACACACAGATATCCGATCTGAACACACTGAGTGCAACCTTCTCTCATGGAGTGAGTCAGTAGCAAAATTAGGAACAGAACCCAACGGAAGCAGGAGATCTTGGTGAGGGCTCAAATAAATAAATTACAACTGACTTCTATTTATGTGCTCTAACCACTAGATGCACCTTTCTGCAAACCATGGTATATTAACACTTCCTTTATGGAAACAACCAATGAAATCTGATACTCTATAGTATGAATATTAAAAATTTGGCTCATAATATTTTTTCAAACTTGAAAAACATCTACTGTAGTTATGTATACTGTATGTAAAATTTAATTATTTTCACTGGCTAGTTAAACATTAAAATATTTCAGAAATCATGCAGTTTGACAATATTTGACACACCTGCAGAATTACTTGAGGGCTGCAGAGAAACCATATATATGTGCTAGAAAATAGTTTTTAGCAATACATTACTATAACATAAATAAAAATAGTAATTCTTGTTCAGATTACTCTGTGATCACCATTATAAATTTTAATATAAGTCATTAATTTTGATATAAAGAGAGAAGACATTGTCAAGCTGTCTTGAGTGGCTGAAGAGTGTGAGTACCAACCTCAGGGCAGACTGTTAAGAAGCAAGGGACAAATCCCAAACTGGTTGTGAATTTTATACTTAGATTTCACCAACCAAGAATCAAGTGTAAATTCCTCAGGCACCAGAACAGCCTAATCATGAAGTCACAGACAGTCTCCTTAAGTACTCCAGTCTATCTTGCCACATAGGCAAGCTTGTCTTTGTGATAGATGGTCCTTTACACCAAAAATCACAACAATATTCAGGTAATTTCTAATCCCAAAGGACCTGTCACTTAGCCTAGGTCAGTTGCCTTTTAGGTCTTACACCAAAGACAGTGCTTGTAGCCAATCCTATAATAAATTAACTAAAGATTTATTAACTAAGAAAAAGAAATGAGAGTTATTTACAAGGTTAAAGTAGGTAAACACATATACACACAAATGAATTATAGTCTTAGGTTTCAAAAGGTAATAGAAGACTCTATAATAAGAGAGTGCTATATAAACAATGAGGAGTCCGGTGGCACCTTAAAGACTAACAGATTTATTTGGGCATAAGCTTTCGTGGGTAAAAACCCACTTCTTCAGATGCATGCACTTCTTCTTCTCCAAGCTTTTCTCCCACGAAAGCTTATACCCAAATAAATGTGTTATTCTTTAGGGTGCCACGGGACTCCTCGTTGTTTTTGTGGATACTGACTAATACGGCTACCCCTCTGATACTTAGAGCTCTATATGTCCTTCAGGGCTAACCTAGACTAAGCACTGAGGATCTTTTGCTTATGCTGAGTAATTCTTGCCCTCTCAGAGTCCAAGCAGCATAAAGATACAGTGTCTTCTTGTCAGGGCTTTTTTATTCCCTTCCCCCAGGGTTCAAGTTGATGGGATGAGTCCACATGCATGTCTCCTCTTCATGGGTGTGCGGAAGGAGCAATCAACAAAGTCTTTTGTCCTCTGATGTTCCACATTGGTTTGCCTAGTGTCTGTAGGTCTTCTTTTGATGGACAGGAGATAACACCTCTAGTGGCAAACTAGTATTTCACAGTTGATAATACTTCTCTCCTGATTGGTTAAGTAAACACTTAAATATTACCTTATAACATGGGATACAGATATTATAAGTGAGATTAATGCATGCCGCAACTTAAAAGCATTTCATAAAGTCTAAACACTATTTTAACAATACTAACAGGTGAACCGGACTGGTTTCCAGCTGTGTATTAGTCAGTGTTCAGTTAAGGCCCAAGAGGCTTTGCATGAGCTGGCATATGGTCTGCCAGCTTCACAGGCATAACATGCAAATCACTGAAACTCATCACAAAAGGTGGTGGGTTTGATTCTTTTCTTATTATCTCACCATAAGTTACTCCATTTAAATTAACAGACTTATTGTACTGGTTAACCATTACATTTGGCTATTACCAAGATAGCCCAAAATTTTGAAGTTTAAAGTTTTTGGCAATAAGATGACAAACCAAACCAACAGTTGTTCTCTTTATTT